TTTAAATGGCGTTTCATTCATTAAACATAATTACAAGTTAATAAACTTACAACGTAGGCGGTCTCAAGGTTGGCGGATAAATAGAAAGTGGCAACATTTTGTTTCCGGCTAAATAAGTATAAACACGTGTAATATTCTAAACTTTCTCCAAAAGGGGCTTAAATGTGACGAATTTTCAAATGTTTTGTAACGTGTTTGCTCATGTAAACAAAACATCGTGTTTTGAACAACGAGAAATAGAATTTAAGTTGGTAATACTGGAAACGTAATCCAGTCAATTCATTGAATAAAAATGTTTTAAGACCACTTTTTGTTAGTTTACCTTTCAATGGACGGCTTTTACGAGTCTTAAAAATTGGCAATAGATCTCCATGGAGTTGCTATAAGTTAAATGTTTTCCTTTCCTTATTACTTCATCTGCATTGATTTGCGATCGAGTCATCAAACGGCTATAAACTGATATCTAGCTACATTATGAGCGTCAAATAAGCACAGATTAAACAAAACTCAAGGCTGTTCTCCAGGTGTGTCATGAAATGTGAGTACTTGCAGTTTTATGTCATCGCATGAATCGAGGCATGACGTCATTGCTATAATGGTACGTGCCTATAATAAAGCTTCATCACACTTAAAAGCTAAACTTGGAAAAACCAAGGTAGGTACCTACCTACCTATATTAGGTAGGTAGGTAAGGTAACTCACGTAAAGGTTTATAGTTATTGTGTAAAAGACGAGTGAAATATGAATAAAGAAATAACTATCCCACTAAAAACATTCTGTAAAAAACTANTAAACATATCATAATGAAAACTGGAGCTACATAACAGTTTATTTGTGGACGATATATTTTCAAGTATTCGTTCGTAGACTAAAGAAGAAAGTACCTCAGGACTTAGGTACTGAAAGAAGATTGATTTATGACACTGGCCTCGAAGACCGCCAGAATTATTATTATGAAAATGGTACTGAATATCGCTCAGACAGAATGATTGCAATAACAGAGAAAAAGAAAATGTAACGAAGACGGAAAANCCAGTAAAGGATGGTACGGCAGTGTTTGCTTCGCGCTCGACTTGGCGGGGGCACTGCCGTGCCCCCAGATAAATTATTCTGTTACTGATTTAACGAAAGTTTTAAACAAAGAGTTGATATTCTTACAAGAAAATGAGTCCTATTTAAATAGTGGAAAACTGTCCTATTTAAATGAAAGCAAACTTAATTATGGTACTCGTAATTAACATACAGTATAATAATTCGGTATAATATACTTGTAATGATAATTCGAAGTGAACGTTTTCTGAGTAAAGCAATTCGACGAAATTCAGCTTTGATTACTTTATTAATCCGTTAATGTAATGCTTGATGTAACTAGTGGAGGCGTTAAATTTAGCAACTGAACTGTGACCTGTTGGAAATACATATAGGTAAACAAAAATGTCATAACGATTAGGGATCGCCCGGCCCCAGTGCTTTTTTAGGCCCCCACCAGGCCCGGGAATTTTTAGACTTTATGGGGCTTTGTCCCCAACGAGTCACAGTGTTGTGGTTTTGGTGTGTTTGGGAACAAGACATGATTATAAAATATTCAAATATCAAGGTCACCGACAGTGAAAATATAAATTTTCCTACAAAACAATAACTAAGTGTGGGTCACGGTTAGTCTAAGTTTAGTGTCCATAACATTTAAAATGCTGCGGCTCGTAAACAGCTAGCTCAAAATACGACAGCTCTCATTGTGTGTCACTTGTTAAAATAAATCCGCGCTGGAGTGAGTCGGTAAGAGCTAAAGCACACGATGCAATGCGGCGCGGCGCCGCACCGCAAAGATTTCACCGTATAGCACGACGCGGCGCCGCACCCACCACCCGATATTCTGAGATATTTTTATGTAAGACGACGCAGCGACACCGCTCGACCGTCGCACACCGGTCGCAACGTATCGTGTGCTATGGCTCTGACTCTAAAAAGATTTTGCACGCTGAATAATATCCGCGCTCAACTATAGTGGCACTGTCAACAAAGCAAAAAACATGCCGGTTTTCAAGTAGGTATTCTGTATTATAAAATAGATTTTGTAGGACTTTTGGTGTGTCAACGTTCTTTAGATTTATTCTAAATCCATGAAGCGTGATTTGACAATACCATTGGAGTTTTTGAAAAAGCTAAACTCTTACATTTTCTATATTATTATTGTATCCGAATAGCGGCATATCAAGGTAAACACTAACAACTTATGTCGCTGTAAAGGCGTGAAATTGCAACAAAAATGTTAATATGCTGTCGGCTGTACCTACAGTCTAGACTAAAATTAAGCACATAATTTCTAAGTAGGTATGTATGAATATTTTCACTATTTCACACTTTCACTTCTGAAAGTGAAACGGAAAGTGTTTAAGGAAACCATTACCAGATTAAATTATGTGGTATATGGTGACCAAAGCCCAGACGTTAAGCAATAATTTTGATTTGTGTGCGGATGATCTAAAATCATTATTAAAACAACATCAAAACCATAAAAAAAATTAAGACAAACAGAAGATTAGGCAGAGCAGCGCGGCGTAGCGATTTATATCAAAGCATGGAAAACTTTTTCGTAATTTTAATGTCAATGTTAATTCAATGTCGTTCTTAACCATTTGTTGTTATGCTGTTATTCTATATTGTACAGTCATGCCAGCAAAAACCGAATCGGACTTCATTTGTCTTATTTTTTTACACTTGTTGATTCCATTTCAAAGAGCTATCAGTTACCCCGATTTTATTAATTAAAATCATATTATTTAGTTAATTAATAACTGCAACTACCTATTGTGGTTTTCATTAAAATGCCGGGAATTTTTCATACGATTTTCTGATATACAAATTAAATTTAATAAAAGAGGTTTCCCTAACAAATTTTCCTTGTTCAATTGGATTTCTATTCAACTCAACCTAAACTGGAATAATTTTTTTAGGTTAGCATCTAAGACATGGCTTAATTTATTGTGATCTTGTCGTGTGGTGTCGACAATAAACCTACACAGTGTCAGCCCAAAACTCCTCAACAAGAGTGGCGTTGACAGCCTTAATAAAATCTTCCTGCGTGCAGTTGTTTGGGCACGCAGGACACGACATCATGACATGTGCTTAATTGTGTTGTTGTTGTTATTGTAGCTGTTGTTGTTGACCGATCGATCCCTCACACCCTGTAGCTCTTGTTTTTAATAACAATGTCACCTGAGTCACTTTGTAAATGGATCTGTTATTGAATGAATTAAGGAGTGAATTTGTGGCTGTATAACTCCTAACTGAATTACTGTTATTAATAATTATGTGGTAAAATTTTTCAATTTCTCAGTAACTTTCTGTGTAAGCAAACTGAAATACAGGCAGATGAAACCGCGAGCTAAAGCTAGTAAACAAGAAGATGCCAGATCCATAAGCTATAGATTCTGCTGTTATGTGAAATATATTTTTTGATTCATTTAAGAGTTTGATAAAAATGTATAAGTGGAATTTTAATTAATTTCTTCTATGATTAATCATAGTAATTTGCATTTTTAAATCCGAGTATGCAAATTCGCGGGAAAAATCTGTTAAACAACCTTTTAATCATACTGTGACGTCTGACAAATGTATCGAATATAAATAAATTACTTTTAAAAATCTATATAATTTTTATTTACACACATTAAATAAATTATGTTATTATAAATATCAAATTTAGGATTAGATAAGCAATCAGACCTTTTATTTACAATATGTTAATTTGCGCGATTTGTTTGTTTGACGATCATTGTAATTACATCATTACGGTTTTCCTTAACTTGTATTATAAAGACAATATAATACAAGTCCATTTGAAATGATTCAGTAGGAATTAGGTCATCAGCGACAATGAATTGAGAAGTGATTGTATACTCTACTAATTTTACCTTTATGATTTATCACAAATATACCTGTCGAAAGAATTTAAACTCAAGTTGCATGTAGAAATAAAGCTCAAAACGAAAACATTTCTGTTTATGAAAGAATTTTCAACATTAGGACTGTTGATGCCAAGTTTACTCGTTTTAAACATACAATTAGTGCCTTTTTGCTGTCTTGCAGATTTACACACGCATGCGGATCTTCCGTGTGCGTGTAGCCCGCTTAATATGAAAAACATGTAGGTACCTATGAAATAATGTAATGCGGGCAACCCGCATGCGGATCAGTGGGTCTAGACAAAGTGCACTTTAAAATCGCAAACCAGTCGAAAGATGTTCGAAAAGCCCTATATTGTATAATGTTTTGATGGATTTTCGATTCAATCAAAAAGTGCCACTTGTTTAGGGGGGCAGATTCGCACGCGTGCCACAGGAAAACGGCACTTAGAACTGTACGACAGTCGGTACACACCGATTACCTACGCTTAGCAACAATCCAACGAAAAGTTGTTTCAGACATTTTTATATGCTGACATAATTATTATCCAAACAAGTAAATTATTATATTCGAATTACCTACAAAGCCGTTACGTTCTAGCAGCCTAAATACTTTAGTCATTATTTATTTTAATTTAAATTATATGATTTTTGAACATGATAATCACCGAGTCTCGACAACAACATACTGTATAACGTGAAGTTCTCCAGTTTAAAAGGTTTGTATCACGTCTAGAACTATTTAAAACAAATACAAGATCCAGTGAATATCTACGATACTACACTGTGCCGAATGTTCCAATAACACGCACAGCAATTATTATTATTATCTGTGTGTCCAATTCAAGCCAATTGAAAAGAAAAACCTCCACAAGCTAGTAGCATAGTATCTAAAACCCGGCCGCTGTGACCGGGCCTAACCTGTTACACAAGAGTTAACTTTTTGTTGGGAAAGAGAAAGTTCCGAAGGCTGTACCCGCGTAGGTGTTTAACGCATCTTCCATGGAACTGTGTGTTTCGTAATTCTATAACNACTGTGTGTGTGCTTAGCGATGAAACGGTATAAACATTATTAAACATTAAAACCATACTGACATTTTCGTGCGGCGTCCTTGACACACTGTCCGAAAGGTTGCTATTGATTTTCACACCACAGAAAACATTTTCGCGGTGTTGTTCGTTAATACGCAGCTTCGTCTAGTTTTCGGCGGTTGTCAGCCGGGCAACTGTGGTTGTCTCGACCACCGGCGCGCGCGACGCTCTATGGTGAACTAGTGGCGCGGCAAGCGATGGGATGGGGTCGGGGCCGTCAAACACTGCACCTACTAACTCATAGTAGTCATAGTCCCACGTCTGGTGGGATGGGACGAATGTTTCGCGGACATGTCCGATGATATCTTTATTTTTCTACGGTATATCGATGATTTTTTCAACACTTAAATAGTAAAATTGAGTAGTTTTTAGGTAAATAGGAGTATTACATTGAATTTTAATAAGGCAGACTGTTAGCTCTAATTATAAAACGGCAAACATATTAATTAGAACTTGTAACATTAATAAATGAATATCCTTATGCACTTTGTTTTTGCAAAGGTGTGTAATATCAGTACATGGAAATCCTTATCAGTAACACTTGTAAAGTGTATTACTAAGTATTACTAATATAAATGTTAGTTGTTTATTTTGTAAATGCCTAGTACCAAGGTGAGTTATTACGTCGAATTTGACACAGATTTATTACTTATACTGACGAAGTTAGAAGAATTTCCATATTTTTCCAGACACGCTTTGAAGTGTAGGCAAAAAGTAGTAATGGCAAATTATGTAATTCTAAGAAAGTTTGTTCACATGAGATTGAAATGTAACATATTGGTTTATTGCCTTTTTATGGGGTTAAATACCTTGTACACAGCCATGGAATTTTATGGAATTTTCCACCTATGGTGAACGTGTTTAGTGTTACAATGTTGCCGTTAAAGTAATTATAATTGATTTTTGTTTAACTACATACCTATTCACACGCTGCGAATAAAATGTCCAATATTCTTATGGTAATGAAGACTTAATGCCTTTTACACAGGGAAAATAGTTGTCATACAGCAGTTGACACCACTTGACCTACGCACCTTAATGTACCTACATCTAATTTAATTTCAGTACCTAATGAAGGAAAGCCAATGTGAAGTAAGTTGTTCATAAAACATACAATTTATTGATAATACAATTTTCGGTGATTTGACAAGACTTCTATCTATCTAGATAGTTCCTAAGAAAAAATTTTTTAGCAAGCGAAACATAACCACTTAATTTCAAGTTCTTCTGCATGCGTGTGATTTTAACAGTCAGCTCCTTGGCGTTAGTCTGACATTACTTCGTGTGTAAATTCTTGATTTTAACATCAGCACCCAGCGAGAATCGAACCCGCAATAAGAGGCTGTATTTTGTATTTTTTTTTATTGATATATAAAATATCTCAGGACATATCCGAAGACGGTGCGCCCAAGACTCCGCTGTCGTCGCGACTGTGCGTCACTCGGGGAGGCGTTAAGTCCCCTTAAATGTTATTAGGAAAAATTGCCCGAAAATACGAGTAATAAAGCATACATTATACCTACACTATTGTATTACTAAGGGAGGCCTCGCACAAACAATCTACGCGCACCTTCTGGAATATACCGAAGTTCTAATAAGTTTCTTTAAAGGGTAATCAGAGATTTATAGACTGAAACAAATGAGTGGGATTTTGGATTGCATTTGATTAAATGCCTCGTTTCTATGTGTAGTTATTTGACCCTAAAATTAATAATACAACGATTATTGGATAAATACAAAGATTTTACATTCAATTTTCGTCTGGTTTGAAAAAGAAACCACTGTCTGATATTCTTAGAAAATATCGCTTACCAATAATACAACTTTTTCAGGCAGACATTTAATCAAAAACCTACACGTGTTTCTAAATGTCAAAGCTAACTTAATGACACCTATTTTTAATGCAAAAAGTAATAAAGAAATAATTTTTTTTACATTACTATAAAGGTAAGTGAAGTGTGGAGGAAAATGGAAGAGATTTGTGCTTATCAGTGGGGCAAATAACATACCTTTTTATTCAGAATTTACCTTAAACTTAGAATTATCATGCCTATACGCATTAGATGATTGAGCTCATAAAAATGTTTAGATAATAATATGTAAAATAAATTTTTAATTACTAAAAACAATTTGAGGGCCTGTTATGCAATAATGTTAAATTTTAATGAGAATAAATCTGGGGGCACGGNAGTACCATAATAAGTATAATTGTATCTTACCTTACCAATAACACCTTTTGTAAACATTATGGAAGCAATAAACTATTGAGTATTGAGTACCTACCTCAGTTTGTATAGAAAACACGCGCGGCACAACACACTGACAAAGCGTCTGCGCGCGGGATTTTTTATATGAAATCACGCGGACCGAATAAAAATTAGGTTTTTTTTTCTATGTATGTTCACCGATTACTCCGTCAATTGTGGACCGGTTTTCAAAATTCTTTTTTTGTTCGATAGGGTACACTTCTGAGGTGATCCCATTATCACCAAGTCAGGATCTGATGATGGGATCCTAGGGAAATCGAGGACAATCCTCAAATTTTGTAGGCGCGTATATTGTTTTTCATTTTATTCTAAAGATATTCAAGTATATGCATCTGGGAGTCATCATCTAATGTTGATGAGGTGATAATGGAAGGTAAAACTCCTTAACGCTTAGGAGTTGGAGAATAATTCTTTAAATATTTTAGGTACTTATATTCATACAGTTGTATTACTTCAGGTTTTTTAGGTGAGCTGATGACGAAAGGTCAAACTTCGTAAGTTATTTGACATGTCACTAAATAAGATGTCACATTTAGGGATTGCAATCCGGTCCGGCGGATCCGGTAATCCGGCGGATCCGGTGTGTTTTTGGACCTACCGGATCCGGTGAGTCGGCGCCGGATCCGGTGGCGGATCCGGTAAAGCAAAAAATACGCGAACGTGAACTGGGAAAGTCGAGCGCGCGCGCATTTGCCAGATCGCTAGACGTGCCGCGACACTACATTGTATTTTCCTTTGCAAAAAATAAATGCTTCTTGTTTTATTGTTTCTTAGGAGTCAGATTGTTTCTTAAAAAGAACTGAAGTTGAATTTATAAGTACAAATTTAAAAGACTGTTTTGTTGATTTAAGTCTGTGTACCTAGATTATAAGAGTTTAATAGTATTATTACTTAAGTACTTTCAGATACTTACATACAGCAATAAGTGAGAGTCAGACTGATTACTAACTTTATTATTTAGAAATTTCATAATTTTATTAGTACAAATTAGTACTTACCAAAAATTACAATTAATACCGAAAAATATAAATAAAAGTGACTTTATTTTGCATAAATACGTATTTCCTTTTTCTTTTTATGTACTATTATCAAAACTAAAAATCACTAAATACTAGACCAAGGTACTTTGCAATCCGGCCGGATTGAAAATGATACCGGATTGCAATCCCTAGTCACATTGCTTAGATTGAATTGTTTTCGTCTGTTCTCGAGGAAGTTCTCTTATGAACAGATTACACATATCCGACTATATTTTTTGTTGCAAACTCACCCCTATTATAACTACATAAGAGACTTCTGTGTTCTACTTCTGACTTCTCTCTTCTGTGTTCCTGATGTGCTGTCATCTGTTGTTCATCTTATCACATTGACATTTCAATTTGCATCTCACTTAATTAAGACTCTACTACGCCTGTCAATGTCATACTGTAGGTAGCAAATCTTATACTAGACTTCCTAGAGCACTGTGAATATTGTTAAAAATATTATACCCTCTACAATACGCAAATTTTCACGACTGACAACATTATTTCATAAGCGATCGCAAAGTTGGTTTCTTCAAGGCAATTTATTCAAAGGAATATTTAAACGCTATTTAGACGAAGTTACCGGCATGGATTCTTCTTAAGAAATTTAGAACTAATTTTATTTTACTATATTGCAGTGATCTATAATGTCTGCCTCGCACTTTTCATATTAACCTTGGACAAAATATTACTTCGAGGACTCGCGGGAAACCACTAGTCTGATTTTACTGAAGCCCTGTAGGTAATTGAAATTTGAAATTGAATAGAAAGAATCACTTTGGATATCAATCAATATCCCATCAAAAACAATACTTGTCAAAAAAACCAAGTCTCGCAACTCAGTTGTTCTACGGTAAAAAGTTGTGAGATCCATGTAATACCAAGTCCAGGCCAGGAAATCTTTAACGTTTTACATAAATATATTGACTTGGCCATCGCATGAAAACACGTGTAAATTAAATTATTTAGTGCGATGGCCAAGTCAATATATTTGTGTAAAACGTTAAAGATTTCCTGGCCTGGACTTGGTATTACATGGATCTCACAACTTTTTGCCGTAGAACAACTGAGTTGCGAGACTTGGTTTTTTTGACAAGTATTGTTTTTGATGGGATATTATTTACCACATCTGATCAAAATGATAGCAATTAAGAATCAATAGTAAAAACGAAAGTGTTGTTGATGATACGTCTGTCTGTGTATGTATGTATAGGAATGATAGTGATACGAGGTCGATGCGTCACGCAGGCGGCGTCGCGGCGCTGCTGGCCCACGCGTTAACGCCTCGGAAGGCTGCCCGCAAACTTGCGTAGCAACGAGAGAACATTCTAGAACTGCACTTGTTTTTGAGGCATTATAGCGAGCGAGAGCGCGCGCGCTGAATGGTCTGGTGTCTCACTTACTCATGAGCTATGATACTAACCGGGGCTAGGCCCCCCCTGAAAAAGAACCCTAGACACGCCAATGGGCATATTAATTCCAATTCGCATTTTGAATTCGTAGCATCGTTTCAGCCAAAACCACAAAGCATGATAAACACAGCTTGCTTATCCTCTTGAGGTCGTCGGCCAAAAGTAGGATAGGCGTTCTAAATTACGTGCTGGAAATTGGTCTCTATCGATAGGTATTCTGAAACTTTCACTGTGATAACATTACTTCTAAAATACAGACGCTGGTATTGTCCTATTCATTCAGGTACCTTTACGTTTAAAAGGATATCAAAATTGCAATTCGGTACTTTATCAGTATAATTATACTCGGCCAGCCTGCCACAACGAACGCTCTATTTTTTGTTACACGCTCTATTTATCAATTGCATGTTTGCGGACTGCTGCGATTAGGGTTTCTGATTTCTCGACTTATTTTTTTTCTCGAGTTTCGGGAATTCTCGAGGCCAAAGTCTCGAGTTT